TCTGTCAGATTTATGTAGCAAAAGACCAATTGTGCGTAGCAAAATGGCCAATTTATGGAGCAAGTGGGCCAGAAAGGAGCAATTTTCTGATAGTTGGGTAGTAAAAAAAACTGGATTTGTTAAAATCAAAACGCTTGCTTGTGCAAAAGAGAATTTATCGCCTATTAGGTTCAGCCATCAATCTACAGATTTAGAACTTCGAACACAAAAATAAGAAAAACATAACAAATAGACAAAAAAGAAATAATGAAAAAAAAAAACCAGAAACTTCGTATGTCTCGATAAAAGATAACAAGGGGCCCATCTACAGCTGAAGGTGGGTGTTTTGATAAATTTTTTATACTTATTTGTGATGAAGTGGGTTACTTTACAAATTGGACTTAGCCCAAAAACCTTAGTTGTTTCTCTACTAAAACAAAAGAGGAAGGTAAAAATTTAAGAGAAAATGAAATCTTCCCGAAAAAATAACATTCTCTGACAAAAAATTAAGGAGACGCCGCTTCTCTAAGAAAAATTGTCGCAATCCTGCAACCCGATTGAACCCTTCATCCCAGATTTGACAACAGCGTAGTTTATAAGTAAAGTAAGTAACGGGCAAAACTGCAAAAACTTGACTTTCCGAAATCAATAACTTTTTTCTGCAAAAAGATCATAGCCGCGTTAGCAGAGATTCCCAAAACCAGGTTCCTTAATTCACCACTTTGAATTGGCTGAATATTTTTCGAGAAAAGTCAAAGAAGTTTCCAAAAAACAATCAATTAATCAAAAATTTTCTTTTACGAAAGTCATAGCTTTAATTGTGAAAAGTTTGTGGGTATAGCCTCTTATACAGATCAGACTAACACAATTTTTTCTTTGATTGAACGCAAAAACTCAGATTAGAGAGGGTAGTTTGCGAGAAAATTAATTAATTTCAAAAACAGGTAAAAACAACAATCTTTTCCGAGGGCTTTATCTTTTGTGTTAAGCAATTGGGCTTTATTGACAAGGCAGGGGAGCTTCCCGCATCACGTTGTTACGTTGACCCAGAACGTCACCTTGTATTTGAATTTATTATGAAACAAGCAATTTAGAAAAATTATTTGAAAATTTAATACATCCGGCAAGTACACCGACAAAAGTTGGGACGAAATCATTAAAGCCGACAAAGTAATTCCGAAAAAGTTCCTAGTAACAAACATAGCACACGGTAGTAAAATAAGAATTTTCATTAAATCTATCATGTCAGCAGCATAGCAGCAATTGAATCAACGGAGTTGGTTTAACTATTTTAAAAGTCTACATTACGATTGATAACGATTGCTAATCGCAGGCGTAAACAGCCAACAGAGAGTTGGAGAAGAGTCAATGAACGCACGAAGACAGAAAAAAAACCTGACTAGTTTTTTGAAAAATTTGCTAAGTTCAAAGTAAGAAAAACTTAACCTTAGCGCTCTTTGAATTTCAGAATCTATTTCTGATTGACATCTGTTTGATGAAAATTAGGTCGATTTGAAAAAACTGACAATAGGCAAAGTTTTACCTCCGCTGGGAAATCTGAAAAATAATATCCTTTTTCGAAATTAGAATTCAATCAGGTTTTTCGCGAGATTTCTTCTCTTTCTGTTAGATAGTTCAGTTTGACTATCTTATCACAAAAGAACTGAAACTAACTGAAAAAGAAAACGAGATTCAAACAGCGAATAATCAAATTTGAGCGGGAAAAAAAATCATGCAATCAAAAAAGAAATAATCAACAGAGGTAGAAAAAGTGTCAGTGAGCTAGAAAACCCAGCCTGATTAATTTTTGAAAAACTTTCAAACTGAAAAAAAAAAAGATGTTCGTACAGCTCTTTTTCGTCAGCACTCACCCAATTTGAGAAAACTGGATCAATGAGTTGTTATGTTATTCCACTAGGAGTAATTTTATTCGTCCATGAGCACAAGTGGAAAGGTCGTGTGGCAGCTAACCAGGTCCGTGCTCTGAAAAGCAAGGGCGGCAAGTACCGCTTCTACTACTGTTCGCTTCTACTACTGTTCAAAGGCCTCCTGGAATTTGCTGTTGACAACGCGGTCTTCGAGTCGGTAACACCTGGTTCAAGGAGAGGTAATCCCACCTCATCTTATACAGCTCGGGTGGCCACACTACGCAGCTGGACTACATACTCTATCGAAAGTCTTTAAGCTAAGCCATTTCTGATGTTAACGAGGAATGCGTCCAACAACATCACCTGTCGTGAGCGATCCTGCCGTACACTTACCACGCGCGAAGAAGCTCAAGTTCTTACCTCGCATCCGCGCATGGAAGCTTAGAGACGCTACCATAGCCAACCAATTCCAGGAGGCCCTTCAGAAGCACGGAATGTCAACTGCTCAGTCTACTAACGATACAACCGGTCATGTTGGGTCTGTCTGGTCTTGCCTGAAGTTTCCAAATCTGAAGGCTGCCATTGAAAAAAGTGGCCTATCAAAGAATCACCAGTGGAGGACTGAAACTTGGTGGTAGAATGAAGAAGTTGACTACGTTGTGCAAGAGAAGCGTGCAAGTTTCAAGATTTATAATTCCTTGATGAAGGTAGTCAAGACGACTGCAGCGCTGAATGCTCGAGAGTCTAATCTGGAAGCAAAACGCAAGTCAAAACATACTGTATACCTTGCTAAGTCTGCTGCTGAGTAGGAAGAAATCGCCACAGTGTCTCAAATGGAGATGGAGTGTTTCGATCGCTACGCAGATGGATCGCGCTAATCAGGACATCTCGGGTGAGAGTTGTCTGCGGAATCATGCCGGTGAGCTAGCTATTCTTGACAACGATAAATTAAAGGCGTGGTTTGAAAACTATGCCAGACTTCTCAATGTAGAAATTGATTGGCCAAGTAAGAAGCTCCCGAAGACTGCGTCGATTGCCGGACAGCCGCCGGAAGTTTCCAGAGAAATGATATGCATGGCCCTCAGCAAAATGAAGTGTGGCAAAGCCGCTGGGCCGTCGGGCATTGTTGCTGAGATGCTGAAAGCAACTAAAGATCTTGGCGTCGAACTGATGAGGCAAATATCTGATGCTGTTTTCAAAAAATGTGGTGTTTCCCCCACAGACTGGGAGGAGAGCTACATTCTGAATCTCCACAAAGGCAAGGGAGAGGCCCTAAATCGTGGCAACTATCGAGGACTGAAACTCACAGATCAAGTTGGTAGAACGAGTGCTCGTATTCGAGCGCTCATATTCACCGTTAGCTACAAGAAAGACCCAATGCTGCTAACATGCCTCTCCACGGTGCTTTCGTGGGTCTCGAGAAAACTTTTGACCTTGTACCCAAGCAGGTACTGTGGTGAGCCCTTCGAAGTCTCGGTGTAAAAGAATGGGCAGTGCGGGTCATCCAGGGTATGTACTGAAATGCCCAGAGTTGGTTTCGAGCAAACGGTCAGTACTGCGAAAAATTCAAAGTGAGTGTCGGTGTACATCAGGGCTCTGTTCTAATTCCACTTCTCTTCATCCTCCTACAAGATGCCCTCTCGCAGCGATTCAACCAATGTAGAGGCGTACCTTGGGATCTCCTCTATGCAGATGACTTCCTTATAATGGCAGATACGCTTGATGAATGGATCGCTAGACTCAGGATCTGGAAAACTGGCATGGAGAGTAAAGGTCTCCGAGTTAACATGAAGAGACAAGTTCCTGATCTCACGTATCGACCTTCATCTCAAGGACTCTGGGAAAAAAACCCTAGTGCTGGCTGTCAAAAAGGTATTGGAAGCAACTACATTGCTTGCTCAGTGCAAGTTGTGGGTTCACAAGAAGTGTTGCGGAATATCAGGCCGGCTGGTAGCCAACCCAAAATATGTTTGCCACAGACACTAGATTGTTGCGGCCTATCGACGGTCGCTCTTTGAACATGATTGATGTAGACGGTACTACGCTCGATGTTGGGCCAACTTTCTGCTACCTGGGTGACATGCTCAGTGCGGTTGGGGCTGGGATAGTGCAATTGCTGTCAGATGTTGCTCAGCCTGGTGTAGATTCAGGAAACTACTCCCTTTAGTAACTTCGCGGCACATCTCAATCAGAATAAACGGAAAAGTGTATTCTTCTTGCGTACGATCAACGATGCTGCAAGGAAGTGAAACTTGGAGTCCCAGCGTATCAGATCTGCAACGAATCCGAAATGACCACGGTGTTAAGCCCGGTGTTCATGACCCAGGTGCACTTCTTGATAATTTTTACTTGTGTGACATTATCAACGTCCTTCGGAGCAGACGCCTCAGATGGTTTGGTCATGTTGAGCGCGCTTCCGTCCGCTTTATGCATCAAAATGGCCAGTGAGATGAAGATCTCCTCCATCAATGACGTGGGAGACCAAAGAAGACTCGGTTAGATTGTGTGATAAATGATATCAAGGAACGTTGCTTTACCCACACTGACCCACAAGACCGTATTTTATGGAGAGTTGCAGTTCGACAATGCCTGGTGCCACCAACCCCCTCTGATGGGACAGGGACAGCACCCTAATCAAAAATCGGATATGATGATGATGATTATGCTGATAGGAAACTTAAAAATTGCTATACTTTTGAAGCTAATAGTCAACCACGTTCTTTGTTTTAAGATAGCTTAACTTGCATTCATTGAGAAATTTAGGTCAAAACTCTTCAAATCAAGACTTTTTCTGAAAGAGGTGAAAAATTCACCTGAGCGTGAAGACTGTTCCTGAAAAACCACAACACCTAATAATTCACTTGCTAAACACGTGCAAAATTTTTAACACTTTCTTCGTTGATTAGCATTTAAAGACATTTCGAATGAAAGCACTTCAAAATTATCACGAAGTACCCTATCAAGAACAAAAAACAGATTTTAGCTTTTAAAAAAAAAAACACGTTTTATCCAAACAAATTATCTGTTGAAAACTTCTGTTTGACTGCAGGAAAAGAAACCACTATTAAAGCAAGTAAAACAAGCATTATCAGACAAAGAACTTTTCTCAAAAAATACCATGAAAATTAACAGTTGATAAAAGATTGATCCCAGAATCCTAAATTACCAGTATGCAACTAACTAAATATTATGTTAATATTTGTGAAACACCAAAAATGAAACATTTGTCTAACAAAAATATAGAAATCTATCAGCCAGAAATGAGTAAAATGAGTATGTTGATGATGCACTGAATGAGTACTACAGAATAATTATAACTGAATTGGAAATCAAGGATAAAATTCGTAAGCTACGGGAGAATGGAGACAATAAGTGAAGAACAATTATATCGGCCAAAATAATGTGCGCTTAAGACAACCCAATTTGAACAGATCTGAAACTTATCGGGCTTGAAAATAAGCAGTTATGGAAACTTTTTGAAGCCACTTTTTGAAATCACCCAGGTTGCTATCATTGATCGGGTTGACTCAATTGAAAATTTTCGATTATTGTGAATTTTTTGAAAATGAAACCATAGCACCAGTGTATAAGAAAACGATTCACTCATTGATTAGTTTTTATTATATCACATAAATCACCAAAAGGAATAATGTTCAAGATGAATGTGGTTAAACCTGTAAAGCCATTTTTGGAAACATTTTATAGAATGTCGTGGTATAAGTAGCTGCCCATTTTGTCCTAAGAGGCACAGTCAATTCAAGCCGTGATCTGAGAAGTAATATTATGGTGGGGTTCCCCGCCACGTGCTTGGCAATGATGATTGTTTTCCAGATAGTTTCCTTGTTTGGAGGATTCTCTGACGAATACTCTTGGCAAAGTGGCCGAGTAATTTGCAGAAATACTAAAGAACTTCGGATGACTGGTGGTCGCCACAATCAGCCAATTGAATCCCATGTCTGGCATTTGAGTTGCACTTTCGTTTTCGAACTCGAAGTCATTCCACTTCTGTACTTCGGAGAACGTGACTGGGATGGTAGTCTTGGCTATCTTGTGGGTTTCTGCCTTTTTGGTTGACACCACCTTCAACTGATGTCCAGACGGAGCAGTTGGTTCAGACTTCTCATGTTCGTGCGGCGTGTAATGAAGAACACGCGACTTGACTGAAACAGTATAGCCAATTTAAATTATTTTAAGTTACGTAAAGACTGTTAAATAAGATGTTTCATCCGTATACCACGTTTCAGCAGATGAACTTCATTTGAAACCTAAAAGTGCATACATACCTAGGTAAAGTCGTAAATGCAGTAATATGTATCAGTGCACATCTGTAGTCATGAAAGCATTTTAAGACTTTTTATTGAAAAAATCACCAAGACATATAGAAGTGTCTTCACGGCGTTCATTACTCTTAAAAAAACTCTTAAAGAATGGATATTCAGTTTGAAATTTCCTGCCTGAAAAAATCGTTAGTGTGAAAACGACAAAATGCAGCCCCTCGGCATTCTGACTTTTTTAAGAATCCGAATCACGGCTCAAAGAGCTTCAATATAATACCTCATTGACTTTCTACGAGATTCTTTCAGTAAGTGAAATGGACTGGAAAAACCTGACTCTACGCCAAAGCTCTTTCCCACTTGGTGAAGCGTTCGGAACAAAGCATCAGCCCTAATTTCTACGTTATATCGGTTTTGAAACCAGTTCAACGCGTACTTGTTTGGCTCGTATTTTCTCGCTAGTCAAAAAGGTTAGCATGGCTTTATGTAGATGTAGACAAGGAACATGATCAGACAAAGTGGAGACTCTTAACTAAACCCATCTGGCTTTTTAAGACAATCAAATTCTCCTTTCTGCCGCTTACTTTCTTCCTGATTTGGTTTGAATGGGGCCCTGTTCAAGTAGATGACTCTGGAGGGTGCAAATGGGCTGAGCAACAGCAAAGTGTTCCTCAGATTCCGAGAAGTGGAAGAGTCCTGATGCAAGTGGGTGACAAGGGAATGCTGAGTATCTGGGAAGACAACTGGATGTAGTGATGAGTCCAGAAAGAGGTTGGAGTGAGTGGATCCGTATGGAGCTGTACCAGCCAGCAGAGAGGTGAGGAAGATGGTGAACATCTGCAACAGACTCAAGTTTAATATTTTTTTTTTTGCTTAACAGTTGATACAAGTAGTTCATGAATAAGCAAAGCATTGATACCGAATAGGAATTAATTGAGGTTAAAATATTTTGGTTTAGCTGATTGGTTTATAAAACATTTAAGTTACGGCAATGAGGAGAGTTTTACACAGAGACGAAGCTTCGCAAGCACTAGAGAGAACACGACAAAAAGCAGCTCTATAAAAAGCAATAAAAATTAGACATAAGCCTTGTATCAGTTAAAATTCAGCTACGTCAGAGATTCGAACCTGCGACCTAAGATTCAGAATCTCAAATACTATCCACTCCGCCACGCAAGCTTAATACGAACCAAACACTAGCCACAAATAAAGCAGAGATATTTCTTTAAATGAACACTTTTATTTGCGAGTTAAGTTAGAAAAAAAAAAGAAGGTTCATAATAATACACCAAGCTGCTTGCTAGTGTAAAAAAATAGCCAATCGAAGTTTGGAAAAGAGTAGTTAACGCAAGGAGACTGAAAAAAACTGACTTTTTCGGAAAAAAAATAATGGCCTTAAAGCTCTTGAAATTGATAGAACAAATTATCATGGACAGTTTTTTGTTACAGTAAACCCAGTTTGAGAAAACTAGATCAATAGGCAAAACTTTTGTTTAGCTGGGAAATCTGATAATTAATTTCCATTTTCGAAATTAGAAGTCGATCACGTTTTTCGTGACTTTTACACTTTTGCTATTCGATAGTGGAGTTTGCCTTCCTTAACAATAGAATTGCAATGAACTTGAAAAGAAACCACAAGTCAGACCGCGGAAAATCAAAATTGAGCGTGTGAACAAATTTTAAGACTTTTCCTGAAAAAAAAAAATCAGCAAGAACTATATAAGAGTACTCACTACGTTCATTACTCTTAGAAAAAAAAGTTTCGTAATAATACAATACGCTGATCGCGAAAGTAAACGCATGAAATTTGCTTCAAAGATCAACTTGATTTCGTTCAAAGACCAATTTGAAATAAAAACATCTTCACAATTCTATTTTTTGGTGTAAGCAATACCGGATTCAAATTTGTTGTTCCGATCACCAAAGGTGAGGAGAAATCTTGGATAAAGGTGTTTTTAAGCAAATACTGATGTCATAATTTAAGTTTAGATGGAACTGAGTCTTCAGATAGAACAAATCACATAGAAGCCTTTTTAGTCATGATTCGTGATATAATGAAAAGTTCCCAAATTTTTTTCACTAACCATTAATACAGTGCTCTTTCCCGTGTTTGCTTTATTCGCATCTGGTGAGAAAGATGATGACATGTTCGGCTGTTCGGGAGGAGAACGAATGAGCATGCCACTCACTCCGGACATGGAAGACTTCAAAGTGGTAGTTCCGAATGAACTCACCAACTCCTGCAGTCTCCTCAGCTGCGACACTAGAGTCCTGGCAAATTTCAAAATTAGAAAAGCAGACCTATTGGGTGGCTGAGATATTGAGTAATGCGTATACTTTTTAAAACTTATTACATTTTCAAGTTAGATCCAAATTTAAACTAAAGTAGGCCCTGGTATTTCAATTTCCTAAATTACTAAAACTTTTATTAATTCTCCGCGACCAGGAAATAACACCACATTGTGCTAGCTCTACAGAGCTAAGTTGTTCTAGAAGAAGTCTCACTTGTTGTCGTGTTCGAGGTGGTTGACTCGTATCTTCAGCTGCTGGTTCTCGCAGGACACCGACTCACACTGCTCCTCCAGACTCTCCAGGTATTCCTTCTTCTTACGCCTGCTCTCCTGTGCCGACCACTGTAGAAATAAGACCACGATAATAGCAAAAGCAACAACCCTTTCTGAATTGAAATTTCATACAGCTAACACATTCGTTTCTGAATAACACTTAAAATCGCAGTGCAAGTAACCATGACTCACCTTGTTCTTCAACTTTCGTCTGACTTTTTTTAAATTTCTCTCATCCGTCTTCGAGAGCGGAAAACACCTCGGAACTGGCAAGCCTTCAGAAATGAACACTCCGTACTCCTCATCTGTCAGGCTGAACTCAGAAAAACCAGGGGTCTTCACTACTTTTTCAACCACATAATGAGGCTGAGTTATCCTTTCTTCTGCTTCTTCGCCGTGAAACAATGCTGTTCTTGTCAAGTTCTCTTCAACGCTTCTCGGAGGATCCTGCTGCACAATGTGCTGAGTAGGTGGCACCACACAAGCCGGTTTCCTGATGTTGTGAGAATACCTATCATCTGGTCTCAAGTATGGATGTGCCAGAACGCGATGACGTTGGATTGCACTTGGTGCCTGGGTAATAACTGAAGGCTGAACAGACGTATACTTATTCAATGTTCGCGGATGATTCGCATTGGAGTTCACAACATAAAAAACAGGCGCAGCAATCGGTTGGTTCATTTGTTGACACGTATTGCTGTACTGGACTCCTGCTTTCTCATCCAACTGAATCATAGCTGGAAGTGTGACCATACTTCCAATGTTGTTTTCTGCAATAGTCTGAAACTTCGAATTTCTTCCGTTTTGGTCCAATCTCATGGAAGCTCGTTGATTTTCTCGTTGTAACAGTATTGGCCGCACAATCCGCGGAGCGTTCATCATGTCACCAGATCCCTGATCCAAATGCTGTAAATTATCCATGCCTGAAATACACGAAAGCATTGGAGCTATTAAAGAGGATTTGTAGACCAGACTTAGATTGCTAACATTGCTTGATTGCCAATCTATTCAATCTATGTCTATGTAATAACATACACGTGTTCTGGCTACCCAATTAAAAAGAATCTTCTAGTTTAGAAATTGTTCTGTAGGAGAGAGGAGGCTAAATTTTTTGTTACTAGGATAGGAAGATGCAGTTAGAGGAAACCGCATGCGATGAGCTCTTCTGTCGTTCGGTTGCAAACTTACATGTCAAGTGCTCTGCCGATTTCAGAGAAAGATCCAAAAGATGATTGAATTTCGATATTTCAGCTCTATCTTTCGTGTTTATCAGGACGTTGGATTCGCTGCCATTATCATTCCATCTCGCCAAAGCAGAATCGAATGAACCAGTCCCTACAGCATTGTCGCTGAGATACGATTTATCAGAGCTGATATTGCCTGAAACATCTCTATTTGAAGCAGAGAAAAAACAAGAATTATCGTTTCTCTGCTTTAAAATGCAAATTTGTAAAACGTTAGACATAAGTTGTCTATCTCTAGTTGTAAATGTAAAACTAACTTAAGGTAGGCAACCTAAACCATAATGATAAGAATACTTGTATCAGGGGAAGCCCTGAATGATCCGACTATCCTTCAATGTCTTTGAAATAGTTTCTGGACGCATCATATCAAAAACAATAAAATTTCGAAAAATATTGAAAATTGATTTTTCTTAGGATTTTTTTCGAATACTTTCTCAAATACTCTATACCAAGTACAATGTGATGGCGCTTAGAAAGGTATAAATTAGAGGCCAGAGGTATAAAGCTGGAAAAACCTGTTTGATAATTTTTGAAATTGATGCGGAAGGACAAGGGTAATTTCAAAAAAATACCCATAGCAAAGTTAAGTAAATCCCAATTTAATGACTTCAAAATTCATTAATTTCATCAATTACTTCAATTTTCTAAAAAAAAAATTGAAGTGATTACAAGAGCTTGTTAGGTTGAAACATGTTTAAAACGTTGCTCATTAGATTTGGGTGGGTTGTTTTTGAGAAAAGTCTCAAAAACAAAAAAAAATCAAAAATTTAACTTTTCCGAAGGTCAAAACTTTTTGCGTTAAGAAATGGCGTAATTGCCTAAACAGTGGAGCTTCGCACAACCCGTTCTTCACACTGAAACCAATATCTCAGATTAGGGAGGGTGGTTTTTGAAAAAAGTCAAAAAGTTTCAAAAAACTGTCAAAAATTCGACTTTTCGAAGGGTCATAACATTTTGTGTAAATAAATTTGGGCGTAACCGCAATAAAAGAGAGCTTCCCATAAGCCGTTTTACCTATTGATACCAAAAATTCAGATTTGCCAGGGTAATTTTTGAGAAAAGTCAGAACACGTTTTAAAAAACTGTCAAAAACTCGAAAACTTGACATTTCGGAAAGTCATAACTTGCTTTTTAGGAGACACGAAATGTAGCAAAACAAGTAAATGAATTTTTAAACAAAGACAATCAAAAATCTTAACACTATCATTCACTTTACACCGATTAAATATATCTGTTCGAGGTCAGTTTTTGTAAAGCTCTAGTTTTCGCTGCTCTTTTTTTCTTGTCATGTGACCGTCTCTGCATCGGGTGCACAATTCCACGACGTTTCCTTTTAAGTAGTTTTTGATCTTCCAGTTCGTTTTCGAATTTAGAGTTCTGAGGAAGTATCGTTGTGGTTGTTCCTTCTTCAGTGGTAGTGGAGCACACCCGTCTGGTTTCCATGTCAACCTGGTTTATATGCACGAATTCTTGTTTTCCGAGAGCTATCTCAGCAGCTGCCAGCATGATTTCAAATGAGTTCCTCTTACGTAGTTTTTGATCTCCCAAGTCGTTTTCGAATTTAGAGTTCTGAGGGAGTATCGTTGTGGTTGTTCCTTCTTCAGTGGTAGTGGAGCACACCCGTCTGGTTTCCATGTCAACCTGGTTTATATGCACGAATTCCTGTTTTCCGAGAGCTATCTCAGCTGCCAGCATGATTTTAAATGAGAAGATCAAAAGAAATTAAAGTTGAAATTTATTTAGCTAGCTTAGAGGCTGCTTAAGAAACTGGAAGTATGAGAGAGAATGAATTTGATTTTAAGTTTAGAAAAGGAAGGAACAAGAACTTCCTCTATTGGCTAATTTATTTTTTTTCCTTCCTTATTTTTTAATACATCAAAAAGGGAGCAGTGATACTGGATAAATAGTTCGATAAATAATTCAAGTGGAAACAATAATCTGATACAAATGTTTTCCCCTCAGTGATGTCATTAAGCTATCCACCCTAATTACCTATAAACAATTTACTCCCAAGGATGCCGGTTAAATACCCGATAAGTAATTCAAGTGAAAAAAATTAATCTGATAACAGTTTGTTTCCCTCAGCGATATCATAGAGTTATCCATTAATTAACAATTGAACAAAATTTCCCCAATGATTCCGGTCATATACCCCAAAAATTGACTCAGGTGAAAAAATTAATCTGATAAGATCTTTATTACGACCCCCGAGAAAAAAAAAGATTAGGCTAATTGAGTACCATAGTCACGCTACTTTGACAGGTTGACCTCTCTCCGAAAATATACTTGACCTCTTGTTGCTCTATACTACTCGTCTCAAAAAATCATAATAAATTTTCAACTGAATAACAATTAAAATTTTTCAAAATAAAAACTCCAATCTCAATAAAAAAATATCCTGGCTCTTGTTTCACTAGCCGATAATCAGTTTTGGTAAAGAGATCTTGAACAGGAAAAAAATTAACATCAATAAAAATTTATTGATTGAAAACGGAATCTATAGAAATGATCTTCAAGATAAAATTTACACCAAATGCAATCAGAGATATATGGAAGTTTAAATATTAAGAGGTAACGTATGAATTCCATCTGCTAGCACTTCTCGTTTCGGGTAGAAAAATGAAAAAGCTTTCTTTTTCAGTTCATAAGTTACCACTTTTTCATTGTTTTGCACTCTGATTCCTCGGTTCGTAGTCTCAGTTTCTGCTTGTTCAACTAAAACAATTCGATATTTCTGCATCGGCGAGTTGTTTAACAGGGCTGTTTGGTTTATACCTTTCGAACTCAGTTTAACTGTTTTACTAACTTCATCCAGACAGCAGTACGTTTTTGAGCATAAGGCAACCATCTCCGTGTATCGAAATTCTTCTTTGAAAAGACCCGGAGTTCTCTGATCATACTTGTTATGTTTTTCATAACACTTTCGAGGGAAAAAATTAGAAATAGAATTAGCAGTGAAATTGTCTCTACAATCGTTACTGCTCATTAAATTCCATTTACTTTTCATTTCGGGTTTGATGATATCCTCGAGATCACTTCCGTTGATTGAAAGATATAAACTGTCCGTATCCATTTCAATGAACTCATATTTATCAGGATCGCAGAATGGAACGAAAAAATTATAGACGAGTTCAAGCATTATTAATTTTGCATACTGTAAGTTGAGAAATCCCACTATAATTGGTTCTTTGTGTTCAACTTTCGATTTAGCGAGTTCAACTTCATAAAGTTCGTTCGGTAGTTCGTTAAACTTTCTAGACATCTTATCATTCACCAAAGTATTGACACATGATCCAATTACATACTTCGTTCGAGTATGTCTGGAACGATCCATGATTTGGTATCCGTAGGCACTGTTACCCACAACGTTCTCAATATTGGCACAAACAGCAGAGTCAGGATTAAGATCTCCTTGTCGTCTTGCTTCAACAACTCCATTAACGAATGTCTCGAAACACTGTTTCGGTTGGTATTGTATAAAGAAGTGGACTCTTTTCAAAACCAGACCATGTTTTAGGTAAAACAGTAACAGTGGAGTGATTATTGGTCCTCGCGATAAAATCATGCTAGAAATGAGCATTCTTCTCGGTTTTTTCAAAAGATCCTGCTCTGATGCAAAACTTTTCATGAACTCGCCAATATCATAGCGACCAACTTCACAATTTTTAAATATTGGAGGAAATTGAGAAAATTTCGACTTCAAGTGATCTGGTACCTCAATTTCAACATCCGCAACTCCAAACATTTCTCCGAGTCGAATTTTTTCAGTCAACTCCTTTTCGGTTATCGGTTTTTTGTAGGGAAAATGTGTTTTCAAGAGAACCCCGTCTCCGTATTGATTATTGCGAGCCCATTCCCACCATTGACATTCTCTGATAGTAACTACTTGAAGTCCTAAGCTTTGCAGATACTGCTTTCGTTTCACGGTTCTTTCACGACGCACGAGTCCCCTTTTGAGTTCTTCTTCCGAATGATGTTTATGGTCCTGGCAAGCACAGAAGTGGAAGAAGCAACCATCCGCTTCGAAAGCAGTTTCACAATGCTGGCAATACCCGTCCACTGAAAAAGGTCCAAACCGTTTTTGTCTACGAGCAGTCAACTGTGATTTTATTTGACAGTTCGGTTTCTGTTTTTGTAAGTATGTTAAAACCATGAGTTCAAACATACTTCTTGTCGGCTTCTGTCGATGATATTTGTTAGACTCATTTGAGTACTCCCATATGAAGTAAGGACCAGTAGGCATCTCTTTCATCATCGAATATGGATAGAGTTGACTCGCATCTATGCCGATGACTGCGTTAAATATATTTTGACTATCTCTTATCCGAGTTTCGGTGGCTTTAGCGTATCTGGTGAAAATTATTGACGGTCCACCTGTGAGATTTTGTCGAATGTACGAATCATACCAGGAGTCGGCTTTACCAAAGGGGAAAAACTTTGCATCAGTGGAGGAATGCAAGATATTATTAGCTAGATTAGGTAATGTTAGTCCAAGCTTTAGCATATCAATGTTTTTCGAATGATAGTAAGTTACCATTCTGTGCATCGCTGTCATAGTCGGTACTACATCTTTATTGTTATAATATTCCAGGAATTCTTTGAACACTTGCATATTTTTTTGTCGCCAAATGATTTGTAACTCCGCGTAATTCTCTTCTTTCGTCTTTGGTATCTGTTTTAATTTCATTTTTTTCAAACTTGCCTCACAGCCATATCCCTGGTCTTGGAGTCTTCTAAATTCTAGAAAATCTACTTCAAGAACGTTACTGCATTTGAGTTTGCTGTAGAAATCGGCGATACTGGGTAGTTTTGTCTCGTTCAATTATTCAGGACTATTAAACCATTCATATGGAAAAAATCCTTTCTGCTCTTCTGACCCGTAAGCTTTTAAGAATTTGTCAAGACTGGTAGCTCCACTCAGAAAACTTAGAATATCTAGAAACTGGAGTCCTAAGAAACTCATTCCCAAAAACTGGTTAGCCTTGCGTATAACGGATGGTGAACACTTTTTTTCATACAAGAGAATTTCGAGCAAATACTCCTTAATCAAATTCAGATCATAACGCGAGCTGTTGAATCCGAAAATAGGTAGAGTTACACAGTACTTATTGAGATCAACTCGCAACTGATAAAGAC